CCCCCACCCAATCAGAACACAGCCAAGCCCCCACCCAATCAAGTCACACCCCCACTAGCAGTTAAAAGGAAGAAGCAGCTGCAAGCTCACATTACTCCAAGAAGCACAAAGCCGAAGACACAAGCCTGAAGATGATGAGACTTCATCGAAACGTCGCCTAGATAATTCCAATTTTACGCGGGAGAAAACCTGAATAACCAAAGATACACACACACACACACACACACACACACGTGTGTGTGTGTGTGTTTATCTATCTATCTCTATCTACCTACACACAATACATACACACATACATATGAGAGAAAGAGGGAGAAGTAGAGCAAGGATGGGAGAGAGGGGGGAAGGGAGAGGGAGGAGGGAGGGAGAAAGAGAGAGGGGGAGAAAGAGAGAGAGAGAGAAGTGCAAGTGGCACAGTGATCCAGTAAGGGTAAGAAAGAAAACTCCCTTAAACCTCCAAGCCCAAAGAGAAGAGAAGAGCAGCACCAAACATCCAAAGTTATGAATATTTGCAACTTAAAGCACCTTTAGAAAGTCAGACTTGTTTTTTTAAAATACTGAGTTTTCTCTCAGCTAAATTTCGGCTTCCTGGTTCAGGGTCAGAGTACACAAGCCAAAAATTGGATGTAAAATCAACTTAGAAATCTGTCAACAGATACTCACACTTATCAGGATCTTATCTTCAGGCACCAGCTGAGTGGCAACTGGACCTAAACATTTAGGCATTTCCTTTTTTTCCAGTCTGAAAAGGCCTCTCCATTTATTGGAGCTGGCTTCTGTCATTACAGACCTCCAAGTACATTCAGTTCAACCTCAGCCAGCACGGATGGAGAGGAGCTAAAAAAAAAATCTAGATCCAGCCCCAACGGCATCCTGGAAGGCAGCAGAGAAATTCCCTTCTCTTTCAATCTCACAGAGACAGCATTTGCTTTTTAAACCTGAACACATGAGTGAAGCAGAGCCATATGGTGTGGGGAGTCTTTGAGTGGGAACAGAGAGAAGCAGATAAGTAGCAGAGCTTCACTAAATCATTATTGGGAGAGCTAAGATAGTCCTGACCAGTCTCAGTGGGGTGGGGTGAGGAAATCTATAGTTTTAATGGGATTAGCAACTTTCCCAAAATTGGGAAGCATGACTCCCACCCTGAACAAACCAGAAGAAAAACAATGATGTCACTGGCAGGTTACAACCATTTTATGTGTTTGTTTTGTACCCCACCTTTATTATTTTTACAAATAACTTAAAGTGGCAAACACACAGGATAGACTCTTTCCTACTCCTATTTTCCCCACTACAACAATCCTGTGAGGTGGATTGGGCTGAGAGAGACTGACTGGCTCAAAAATCACCCAGCTGGTTTTCATAGCTATGGCGGGGCTAGAACTCGGGGTCTCTTGTTTTGTAGCCTGGTGTCTTAACCATTAGATTAAATTGGCTCTTTTTCTTTTTGCCCTGTTTTGCCTAATTTTGTCTATTTGGGCGGCTGGAGATTGTATGGATAGGGATGAGCCAATAATCTTCTAGGAAGATAACTGTTTCCATTTCCATTCCTTAAAAATCCCTGGAATTTGGTGGTGAAGTGACTACATTTTGTCAGGATAGTGGGAGATTGTGGGCAGGGAAGTGGAAATTGCGATGATCTACTTTTGAGAATCCTTGTGCCACCAAAACTGGGGATGTTATTGATGTCATGACTCCTGAGTTAAGATCTCTAGCCTACATCTTTTGAAGAGAAACAGCTTTGAAAGAGAAACAAAATTAAGGCACAGGAACAGACAAAACCAAGACGATATGGCTCTTTTATATGACCCAACCTACCTGGCATTCTGTAGCTATTTTTTATTTTTTTATTTTCCCTCCTTCACTTCCATCTGGTGACTTTTACAGGCTGTGTGGAATGAGCACAAAGTGGGGGGGGGGGGTTTATAATCCAACACAGCTGCCAGGTGCAAGATTGGGAAAACTGGTATCTCTTCTTCAAGGCTTTAGTGGGAGTGACATCTATCCTGTTGTTCTGTTGTTTATATGCACATTCCGTAAGGAATGCATATGGTATCCTAATTATTACGAGATGCAAGAAGTTGTATGAAATTTTGTTTGTAAGGAGTGTGCAATTGACCAAAAAAAAAAAAAAAAAGCAGAAAGAAAAGGTACACACAAGTTTACTTTGCATTCCAGAATCAGATTTTTTTTTTTTTTTTTTTAAGAAAGAGTCTGTAATGTTAAGATGTCAGCATCTGTAACTCAGGGGCGAGGGGAATAGATAGAAAGAGCTGTTTTTTTCCTGCACCCTGCCAGAACAGATGGTGGGGAAATTGCCTGCTCTTTGCAAAATGGTTGGATTCAGGATCTGGAGGGACAAGGGGAGAGGGAGGATAAGGAAGGCCATCAGAAGCAGACAGGCCTAGAATTACAGGAGATTTTGGAGGAAGGTAAAATAAAATTACAAGCCTCTTGCAAGTGGAGTGCCTGGAATTTGCCAAGCAGAATTGCAATTGTTCACAAGGTTCCTTTCATGTAGCACTGAATGACTCAAAACCTGGAGCGGTAGTAGAGGGTCTCAGAAAATGATGGCAGGTGCAAAAAAAACAAGGTTGAACTGTTTCCAACTAGGACAGGAGACAGAGTTTTGCTGCTGAATAAATAACGACCTGCAAAAGAAAGGTTTAAAGGTACCCCCAGATGCGTGCCTAGGAACAGTACGCATAAGACTGTGCAACAGTGCCTCTGAGCACACCTAGTCTGGTGGGCGACAGAGAAGAGAGGGACAGAGGGAGAGGAAGGGAGAAGAAGGGAGAGGGGAAGGAGAGAGGGAGATCACCCCTGTTCTAGCATGGAGCTTGGCAGTCATGAATGGGTGTTTATTGTTAATTTTAGAAAGGCCAAATAGGAGATAAACCTACAGAAGGTTTAGCACAGTTTTTTCTTTTCTCTTTTTTTCTCTTCATTCTGGAAAGATGAACTGCTCAACACTTACTTCAGCCTTCTGCTGCCAAGGGTCATCTTCATGGTCAATGAGGGAGTGCCCCGGGGGACTGGAAAAACAAGGCTGGGCAGTAGAAGTCTGGGGCTAAGGTCTGCCCACCCCTGCTGTGGGGTGCCTGGCCAATGAGCACACACCAGCACAATTCGGGCAGCAGAATTTGCAGATATGCTTGCAGGGCAGCTCAGGCCTTCTTTCCCCTCTCAGAAAAATCCATCTAGATTAAATGTCTATGGAGACTTTCAATCATCCAGGTCATGGTTGTCCCAAAGTGCTTCCTCCCCCAAATGGAACGGGACTTTATTTTTTCCTTGAAGATGTTTGGCTTCTCATCCAAGAAGCTTCTTCTGCTCTGACGAAATGGTGGAGGATGGAAGGATTTGTCTTCCTCCGCCATTTGGTCAGAAGCTTCTTGGATGAGAGAAATAAAGCATCTTCACAGATGAAACAAAGTCCACTTTTGGAACATGGTTGGCTGGGATATTCTGGGAATTGAAGCCCAGTATCTTAAAATGCTCAAGGCTGAGAAACACTGATTTAAGGGGAAAGCAGAATGATCAGCCATACTTCCATTGGGAGACTATCCCATGCCAGGGGTGCCACTACCAAGAAGGTCCATTCCGTGGCAAAGGGGATAGGATGATCCTACTCCAGCAATTGGACGGCGCGGGTCACAATCGCGTCAGTGAGTAGATCCCCAGGAGACGGCTCTCTTTTACCGGGAGCTAGTAGGAAAAACACCCCCCCCCCTTTTTTTTTTTCTTGAAACAAACCGAAGGGACAAAGGAAAGGCGGGTGTGGATCGCTCGCACGCCCTTTGTGCCTGCATCTTGAGAACCGCCTAACCATCCGTGCAAGCGCTCTCTCATTCCCATCCCGCAGGGACAACCTCTGGCACTACCTGCAATCCAACCGGGAAAGCGAGGCTGTTTGCAACACAGTTTGCCCAAAGGGAAACAAATTAACTAGCTCGGTCCCAGCAGCAGCAGCAGCAGCAGCAGATGCCGAGCGCTCGAAGGCCGACTGCGGGTGCCGATCTGGCCGGCTTCCGCGGCCAGGATCCAGCAGCGGCCGATGCCCGCCAGCCGTGCCCGCAACTGCAGCATCGCAAGGAGAGAGAGAGAGAGAGAGAGGCAAAGCTTTCCGCCAGCCAGGAGCCCCCTTCTGCAAAATGGCTGTCTCTAGGACTCCCGACGGGAGACGGAAAAGGTTAGCCGCACCCGCTGGCTTCTCTGCCGTCCAAAGCGGGCGATGCCAAGCAGCATCGGCGCAGGACACCGCAGCAGCGGCCGCTCTTCGCATCCAAAGCAAAGCGGCTCTTTGCCCGTCCTGGCGGCAAAATGGCTGGCTTTAGGACCGGGGGACAGCGACCTGCCAGGCGGAGGGGAAAGAGGGCGCATCAGGGCTCGGCATCGGGAGCAGCTTCGGGGCGCTCGTCCTTCAGGCGGGAGGGAGAAAAGAGAGAAGCAGAGCCGGAGGAGCTTTTGCGGAGCTAAGCCCATCCTCAGCGGCGGGTCCCCCTTTCGCCCCATCCGCCCGTCCGTCCCCCACCCCCTCCCCAGCCTTACCTGCTGGCTCCTTTGTCTAGGAGGGGCTCTCCCCTTTCTCTGCGGCTCCATGTGGCTGAGCGCTAGGACCGCGGAGGAAGGAGAGGAAATGGAGGCGCGGGGCGGGGCGGCCGCAGCTGGCTGAGTGGGTGGGTGGGAGACAGTCCAGCAGCAATGAGCTGGAATTGCAGGGATCCCCTCCCTCCTCTTTTTCCTCCTCCTTCTCCCGCCCCGGCTGCAAAGGCAGCGGCTGCCCGTGAGACGAAGGAAGGCGGCGATCTCGATGTTCGTCTCGTTGGATGAGAAGGGGATGGGGTGGGGGATGATACGAAAGGGGTAAGGGGAGGCGGTGGGCAAGCAGAGGAAGTGCGGCGTGTCCCCCGAGGGAAGCGGGCAGGAAGTGTGGCGAAGCCGCTCCGGGGAACCTTTTGGAGGATGCACCAGACGGGTATAGTTGGTGGGGGGGTGGGGAATACGGCATTTCCAAGAGGCTAGCCATGGTCATGTTATCTACTTTGGGTAATGAAAGGTCTGCCAGGCCATAAGCAAACTCGGGGAGCACCCAGCAGCCCTGGTTTCCAAGAGGGTTTGCCTTGGGCTTCTTCCGTGGGAAGAAGACGGCGGCCAGCCGCTTCCCTATTACCGGAAGTGGCCGGTTCGCCTGCATGAAGCCGAAAGCAGGGAGCACTTTGGGCCAGGAGTTTCCAACCTTGGCAACTTTTAAGACTTGTGGATTTCAACTCCCAGAGTTCCTCAGCTAGCTTCAACTCTGGAGTTGAAGTCCACAAGTCTTAAAAGTTGCCAAGGTTGGAGCCCCCTGCTTTGGGCTCTCCGCTCCATGCAGGAGAACCGGGAACTTCCGGCAATAGGGTGGCCGCTGTCTTCTTCCCAGTGTCTCAAATCTGCTTTTTCAAAAGGCAACTGGACTGTTGTTGTTTTTTCCTTTGGGGAAGAAGAACAAAACTTTTCATTTCTCATCCAAGAAACTTCATCCGTTGATGAATCAATTAATCAACCCATGCACTTTCTTGGATGAGAAAGAAACGCTTTCCTTTTCTTTTTCTTCCTCAAAGGGGAAAAAAACCCAGTCATTACCTTCTGAAAAAAAGCACCTTTGCGACAACTGTGACCTGGATGACTGAAAATCTCTACCAACATCTTCCCAGGGTGATTTTTTTGTTTTTGTTTTCCCAACTTCCCTATTGTTCCGAGATTTCTGCGTGGTCTCCCATCCCAAGTGTTAACTTGTTAACATGATCAAAACATGTGGCACAGGAAGAAATCCCAAAAGACATGAGTGAGGATCGGAACCATTTCTGACAAGCTAGAGAAGAATGCGACACCGGATCTCTTCACCTGCAATAAACCAGCTGCTTTTACAAGCTTCGCTTTTGTTTTTATATAGATAGATATATAGAATTCTTTATTGGCCAAGTGTGATTGGACACACAAGGAATTTGTCTTGGTGCAAATGCTCTCAGTATACATTAAAAAAACATTCGTTAAGAGTCAAGAATCATAAGGTAAAACACTTAATAATAGTCATAGGTTATAATAAGCGATCAAATCATACTAGGATACAGTCAATATAAACCGTAAGGATACAAGCAACAAAGTTACAGTCATACAATCACAAGTGGGCAGGGATGGGCGATAAGGAGTGATGAGAAGATTAATAGTAATAATTTTGTTGCTGCTGTTCCTTTTCACTGCAACAAGAAGTGAATGATGCCTGGGGGGGGTGCATTTCTGCTTGGGACCTGCTGAGTGGTGAGCTGTTCTGACGTCAAAGCTCTTTCGCTAAGGAGAGAGAGAGAATGTGACTGTAAAGCAGGGGTCCCCAAACTTGGCAACTTTAAGACTTGTGGACTTCAACTCCCACAATTCTGGGAGTTGAAGTCCACAAGTCTTAAAGTTGTCAAGTTTGGAGACCGCAACAGCAGAGGTCTGTAGATGCTTTACAGTCCAATCCAGGGTTTCTATCTATCGCACGGCCTTATATTTTTGTGACACTTCAGAAGAGGTGATTCTCTAAAAAAAAAACCGAAAAAACCCACCCCATAAGCATTCACACGGGACTTCTGAGAGAGTTGACGCGGTTCCATTGTTCAGTATTCTCTTGTAGTGCAAATATTCTCTTTCAAGCGTCGCTCTACCCTTTGGAATCTCTATGGCGAAATCGCTAACACACCGTTGGGAGAACGGGCAACTCGTTCCATCTCAGACCGGAAACAGGACAATAGGGTGGTCCACCTAGAGATAGAAACTCTTAGAACGCTCCATGCACGTTTCGGCACTTCCGTTCTAATGGCCAACTCGGCCCCCATCCCCACCCCGCGAAGGTTTTCCCTCATAGGCCTCCCGAGAGAATAATGGGAGATTTGTAGATGCTCATCCGAAATACGCGTGTATGATATTGGGGCGGGTGGTGAGGGGGGGATTGTTTTGCAAAGGACGCTTTGGCTACCATATAGAAAAAGCGGCTCCGGAAGTCTATTCCCGTCCAACCAAGCAGGGGAACGCTTTGACGGGTGCACATTTCCTGTTTCCTAGCAACAAAAGGAAGTATTTGTTGTTGCCCTCTCCTGCGGGACTCCCTACCAGTAAATCCCGGGGTCTCGAGGCCTGGAGGCGTTGCCGGGCCGCTCAGTCCGGCGTGCGGGACCCCGTCTCAGGGAACGGCGGGGCTTCCGAGGGGCCCCGGAGGATTTGGCCTTGCCCGCCTTGCCTCCCCCTCGTCCGTTTGGTTCCCCTCGGCCCGATCCGTCCGTTGCTCGCCGAACGGGAGGCGAAGAGCTCGGTGGGGGTTCTCTTCCCGGGAAATAGTGGGTCGTCGTGGGGCCTCTCTTCTACCTCAGGGCGAGCTACGTCGCGGACTGTGATCTCCGCCAGCCCGCCCGCCCGGAGCCTCCCGGGAGAAGCGAGGGCCGTGGACCCTGGCGCTCCTGAACCCGAATCTCGGGGTTTTCGGCCCTGATCGCGGCCTCCTTCGACGCCGGATGCCTTAGGAAGCCTGCGGGCTGCTCTTGCTGTCGCCCTACTTGAACGGGATGCTTCCCGCTGGGATGTCCTGAAATGCACTGGATGCCTCGATTGGAGGTCCAGCTCCCCGCCTGTCTCTCTCTCTTTCCCCTCATCACTCAGGGTCTCCTCCACGTGTCTTCTTCAGCCTCTGGGACGGGGCTTCTTCCTTGATAACCTCCTGCTCCAAAGATGGGGCTCTGAAGGCCTGCCTGGATTCTGAAGGATGTGGCCTTGAATGCCTTAGGCTTTTGGAAAAATCAGCTCAGCTTAAAACTCGGCCCCCCAAAACCGAAAAATCAGCTTAACCCCACTCATCACCCAACGCATTTTGTGCTGTGTTTTAATGTACATTAATATGTCTGGCTCTGGGCCGCATTCCCTGTTTTGGGAGGAAAGAAGTTTGTGTCGGTGGCTCCTGATAAATGAATGTTGTGCCGATCTGGGAAATTCAGAATGATTTGACAGGTGAGAAATCAGCATGTTTGTGGCCATGTGTGCATGTATTCACTTGTATTCAGTGAGTAATTCTTCCAGCCTGGTTGCCATCCAAATGTTTTAAACTGCAATAAACTACAACTAGCTGCAACTTTGCATGGTGAGGTTCAAGGCTGATGGGCATTACAGGCTCAACCATATGGAGAGTAAAAATTGGGGAAAGCCTGGGTTCAGAGTAATCTAATAAAACCTTTGTGCACTGTAGCTCTGTTTATTATAAAACCATGCTTTTTTGTTATTGTTGAGTGAGAAAAATTATCTACTTCCTGGATCTCTCCTTGTGCCTTGTGATTAGAATAAAATGATTGGGCAGGAGAGAAGGCATACAAGAAAATTTCTGTTATTGAGCAGAACAAAACTAAAAGAATGACATCTGGTGAAATCGAACTCTGGGCACTGAGATACCTAGTTTATTAGACCTACCTAAGTTCTTTGTTCCTTAGAGATTTAAAACTACTGTTTTGTTCTGCTTCAGAAAATCCTATATTTCTGACCTATAGTCTCTGACCTAAGTTAGTTTCCTATCTCTTTCAAAATACAATTCTCAGTCTTTCTGTTCTTAGAGAATAGGGGATTATTCCAATGTGCTGTATAAGATGTTCAACTGGAGAAGGTTACTCTACATCGCTGCAATAAAAACCAGTTCTAACACACCCAACCACAAGCTGAGGATTTCATAATTTGAGGTAACTTGATTTACTGTTACTTAATTGTGCCCCCTCTTTCCTGGGTTTTAGGGCCCAGAAGCTGAAACTTGCTTATTGGTATTTTAAAAACCCAGTGTGGTTTATTTAGTACAGAGCAGCTTTTATTTTAGACACTAGCTAACACCTATGTGTATTTGTTATAAAAAGTCTCCCATCTTATCAAGTTAATGCTTAAAGGAAGCTAACACCCATGTGATAAGAGCTCCCCAGTCCCCGACAAAATAATCAGAGCAATAACCATTGCTATCACTGTTTTCATAATACAATTGTGTGTTAAGAACCAAAGAATGAACAATCCATATTCTAATACCTATCACAACTAGTCAGATATTTCCAGGAAGTCTACTACCAGGGCATAACATTTCCTCTTGTGTCCTGATGGGACCCTTTTCTAAGAAGCCGGCATTCAGAGATTATTCATTCTGTTTTTTGTGACTGGTGATGTTTGTGATGACTCCTTTTCTGATTTGATACTGCCTGGTCCCTGTGGGAAGACATTGCAAAAAGGGGAGATGGGAAAATTACAGCACACACATGTATACCTACGTACATGTAGCAGACTTCTTCACAGAGGTGCCCTTCTGAGGGGAGAAATAATTTATTTGAATTAATAACAACACTGAAACAAGTGACTTATGACCGTTTTTCACACAGCCTTCGCAGTATTTCCCGGTCATGTGATCAAAATTGGGGTGCTTGGCAACTGGCTCATATTTATGACGATTGCAATATCTGGGAGTCATGTGATCCCTCTGTGATCTTTTGACAAGCAAAGTCAATAGGGAAGCCAGGTTCACTTAACAACTGGCTTACTAACTTAACAATTGTAGCAATTTACTTAGCAACTGCAGCAAGAAAGGTTGTAAAATGAGGCAACATTCAC